ATGTATGAAAAAAGAAAAGATAATATATACAAATGTATTTCAATATGTATTAAAAATGTTTTTAAGTTAATTGTGTATAAAAGTATTTTGTTATTTTTATGTACAAATATCTATCTAAAAAGATGTTTTAATCATATGATAAAAGATGTATTTTAATTAAATTAGTGTTTTACAAAGAAATAAAAAAGTAAACATTGTTTGTAAAATAAAAGGGGGTTAGTGTTTTATAAAAAAAAGAAGTAAGCATTGTTTAGGAAATAAAAGAAAGAAAAGGGTTAGTGTTTAATGGGCTTTGGGGTAATCAGAAAACGGGTCAGGCCCACATCAAGCTTGAAACGAAATTAGGGTTAGGGAATTGGTTCAGTTGAGATGAAAACGTAGGGTTAGCAGCGGCGCTGTGCGTTCGTCTTCTCCGATCAAGCTTCCTGAGCAAATCAACTCCGGCCACCAACGCTACCCTCAGACCTCTCTTCCCTCCAAGGCGTAAGCTTCACATCCTCTTGATTTAAGGTTCGTTTTCAGTATTATGCTCTTGTCTCTCTTACGAACTTGCGTGTTTTGTTTTCAATTGGGTCTTAATTCTTATTTTTCATTATGAGATGAAGGAGAAGAGAAGAGGGAGAAGATTGGCTACCTTCGTTCTTTGGAGATGGAGGAGAGAAGAGTGGAGGCGCTGAGGAGGCCGGAGATTCGGTGATGGAGCTTTGAGCTTGCTTTGCTTTTGATGCTTTCCTGGTATTTTCGTTCTTTTGATATATTAGGGTTTTGATGATGTATACTGAGAACCCTTTCCCTTCTTTCTTCTTCTTCTATGTCACTGATGCTTATGTATTGTTGCTTGCTTCTGCACGAAATTTCTCTCTTCTTCTTGAACGCTGTATTATTTGTTTGTATTGCCCAATGATGCTTGTACTGAGGGCCTAGGTTACCTTTGAAAATTTGTTGCTGGATGTGCTATGGTTGAAACAACTGTGTTGTTTTGATTAGCTTCTTTCTAGATTGCTTAATTTGAAATGGCCAATGATGAACACTTTTCTGAGGCTTTGGAGTTGGTTTGAAGGTTTTGACATGCTTGAGAGGGTATGTTTGGATATGTTTGAGAGGTTGGTTTGGGTATGCTTGAGAGGTTGGTTTGGGTATGTGTTTGGATGATGCAGGAAGGTTAAGGCATTAACAGGTTATGGTAGTGCAGGTTCCCCCTTTGAAGCTTGGCTTTGTGACTTTTGCTTATGCTGGTTTTGACAGTATAGTGGTTTAGTTCACATGTTTTTGACAGGGACTTTTGGCAGTTTTGAGCCTGTGTTGGGTTTGATAACTTGTGAGGTTTTCAATTTTTTTTTTAGGTACTGTGTTTTGATGGCCTAGCAGGTTAAGGTATTAGCAGGTTTTTGCTTCAGTTGCCCTTGGTTCTGGTTCACAGTTTGCAGGTTATGGTTGTTATGAGGTTTGATTGCTAATGGGTTTGTGTTTGACAGTATGGTTAAGGCATTAGCAGGTTATCAGTTTTTGAAGCTTGAGGTTGTATTTTCAGGTTATGGTACTGGTATGAGGTTTGATTGGGGGTTTTTTATAACTTGTGTCTTTTAGACCGGTATGAGCTTATGGCCTTTATTGGTTTGGTTCTGAGTTATAGAGGTGATATTGGTGCTTGGCTCAATCAGTATGTTTTCTTGTGTTATTTTGTCTTTTTTCTATTGGTCTTTGGCGCCCAACCTTATTTCAAACTTTGGTCTTCTCTTTGATCCACGCTTGCTGGGTAGTTTGACAAAATTTCTTGGCATCTTTTCCATTTTTGGTAACTGTCCATGCTGTGTAGTTTTGAACAATGCTGAATTGTGTCTTCTTTTTTGTATATCTTTTCTGCTGCCTCAGCTTAACCTGCCTATGCTTCTACTATCTCTCTTTCTTCTCTCCTAAAGTACAGTTAAAGAATTATTATATGATTATTATTGTACTATGGTTCTGAAGGGGCCCCCTCTCATGCTGGGAAATGATGAAAAGGATCAAATTGCTTGCATATACTTCTATGCATTCTTATTCTGCTTTTGACAGCTTTGCTACACTTTTTGCATTTCTTTGATATCTTGGGATTTTGACTTTGCAGCAATTGTACTTCCTTGATTCCTTTGTGGCATCTTTGAGTATATTTTAGCATTTGATAGGAAGTGGGAATTGGATTTGAACTAATACAGTTTGAACTTTGGATTTGAAATTGAGATGCTATGCAGTCTTGAATTTTGGAATTTATACTTTTGACATTTGCATTTCATGAACGAAAAAAATCTTCCCTCTCTGTGAACCGGGAGAAATCCCGTGATTTGCAGAGAGGGTCAACTGATCCCAGTCAGTGGCCCCTAATGATGAGTGAATTTTTAACAGTCTTTAATTAACTGCTTTCTGACTTCCTCTTTCTTTTTGCAGATAAAAAAAATATGGAGCACCGGCATGAAGTGGAGAATGAAGAATTTAGAAATAGGATAGAATTTTTATTTTCAGTTTAATTCTTGTACATTATTATCATTTAAATACTTTGTAATAAATATTAGTATCCAAATAATAACAATTGTAACAATTATTAAATGTGAAATAAAAATTCATTTGATATTTAATTTTCTTTCAATTCTTTTCTTTAATTGTTCATTTGTTATTTATAGTTCCTTAAAATAAAATAAAATGAAGGTTTAAACTTCAAATATTTTAATTCTTAGAATCATAAATAATCAACAAAACCTTCAATGATCAAAATAAATGAATTCGACGTATCCATTATTCAAAGCAACGCACAGTCGAACACAAAAACTTAATCAGATGCAATCCTTTTTTTTTTCACTGATTCTTTTGCCAAGCACTGTAATTCCACATTGCACACATCCCTTTTGACTGGTGAATTCCAACCAACTGCCTCATTTACTGATTAAATCAAGATAACGCGAATTTTAACCCGAATCTCGGAATAAACTGCAAAGTGCGGTAGAATTTAAATTCTTCTGAGAATATGCCCATAAAACCTTAATTTCTGATTAAATGCTAGATAACGCTCGCCTGATCAACATTGAACCAAAAATCATCCCAACCCTAAGCCAACTGTATGAGACAAATCAGAGCTCTGAACATCAGTAAAAACCCTAATTTCGCTTGACTGTCAAGAAAAGTCCGTTTGTCCGATTCTTTCGCCAGTTTGAAAAGTCAGGAAATGTCTGAAGCTGAGATTGTTTGTAGCAAAATGCGAGGGCAAATTTTGGGGTACAACAATGATTATCGCGAAAAATTCCACAACCAGTCGGAGAAAGGTCATGTTTGTAGGCACTATCACAATTATATTTTATTTAATCAAGAGGAGGAGGTTGCCAAAGCACTTTTATTATTTGAGGAGCTTTAGAAGGTTTGATGAAGATACTGAAAGCCTTGATAATTTTAAAGTCATCTAAAGAAGATGATGAGCTGATAGAGAAGTTGCTTCATGTAAAAATCACTTGAGCCTTGGTCTTAGAAATTGAGTGTGTGACATTTGAAGTGTGGTTTTGAACCTAGAATAGTTACAAGTTTTCCACATTTTGTTAGGGATAAAAGTGATGGAAACTTTCAAGATCAAAGATGCTTTGAACGATTTGTGGTGCAAACTTGCCCCAATCTTTTAATGTGTTTGGAGGGTTGGATAAGTTGGTTATGTTGTAGAACCAGAGTGAAGTGTGCTTAGCAAAAGGGCATTCAAAAAATAAATGTTTAGTTGTTTCTTTATCCTTGTTGCAAAGACCGCACATTGTGGCCAAATTGCAACATATATATGCTTCCGTTTGTCATTTGTGGGGATTTTGTCCAGCATGAGCTTCCAAATAAGTATGGACGTGGAGGCAGGGGTGTCAATGCTTCAAATTGACTTGGCCCAAGATTTCACTATAGAATGAGCCTTGAAATGGTATGCTTCTTTGAGGTTTAAATAGTCAGTTGTGAGATGGATAATTCGATGATGTCTTCATATCTGATATTATGCAAAAGGGAGTGATGAAGCCTTTTGATAGGAGGTGCAATTAGATATGTTAATTAGTAATATAATTATATTAGTTGTTATTTTGAATATTGTTGAATTGGACTTTTACTAGTGTTTGAACCTTTAAGTTTATTATCATTAGAAGTACTATATATTGTAGGCTCATTGAGACATTAGGTATCAAGAACCAAATAAAAAAGTCTTTTATCTTCTTTTATTTTATTTAGTCATTTAATGTTCTTCCCCTTTTAATGTAGAAATCCTAATTTCATAGTTTTGATATGAAACTTCCTATCAATTGGTGCTTTCATCCATGTACTCAAATCCTCTTATGAATTACCCTTATCATACACCTTCATTTCCATCTTACCACTCTACCGTAGACACCACTTCTACCACACCCTCATTTCCATGAGAAATTTTTACACCTTGTTACACCCATGTTGCATCTTCATCACCAAGTTTGTATTTCAATCATGACTTTTCACCACATACTCATTACTCTTATCCATGAAACACTCTTACAGTTTCCCCACAACCATACATTTACCATACACCACCTTTAACACTATAACCAACTCATTCACTCATTCCAAATCCAACATATCTAGTGAATAAGAAATCATGTCGGTTATTTGTTAAGAAAGACAAATAAAGACACAAAAAAAGAAGGTTGGACAGAAAAATAGTTTTTGAATAAAAAACTCTGACGAAATTTCATCAAGATCGTGATTCTGTTTCGGTTGTGCTTGATCATTGGTCTTCATTTTTTAATTTTACTGCGTCGGATGGGGTTTCTCGAGGAAATCAGATTGGAGTTTTAAGGGTTTCGGATGATGATGAGAAAGGGAGTTTTGATTTTTACGAGTTGAACCAACAAGATTGGGATTCAGCTGAGTCTGTGTTGAATTTGGAGTATTCATCAACTCGTGCTTCTTCTTTGAAAGTAGAGGATTTTGATCCTAAACATGTTCCTGTTTTAGAAAATAATACATATAAGGTGTATGATAAAATAACTCTATATGTTTCCAAGCTGAAATCCGTTGGCAGAGATTTTCCTTTAGAAAAACTTGTTACACTAAGAGAGACACAACGTTTATGTCGTCTTTCTGATGAGCTTGCGGAGAATCTTGTTTGTGCTATTTCGAAAGATATTGACTCCGTTGTTTCTATTGAAGCTAAAAATGACGAGGAAAAGATTGTGGATGGACAAGGTCTTCGAATCAGAGTAGATTGTGATGGATACTCTACTGCTAGTTCAATTGATTCTAATGCCATGTGGCAGTGTTCGCGAGAGAGTTTGGAGAATGAGCAATTTGAGAAGGTAAGTGTTGCCTTAAATGAATTTGAATATGATGAGATGAAACTTGATAGGACTGATGAAATTAGGGTTGAGTTTATTGAGACCGATGATGTAATGCAAAGGAAGTTGGAAGTTGTTAACAACACGGAGACCTCTGATATGGTTGAAGAAACTTCTAATGCAGGTAGATTATTGGAGTTCAATGCTGAGGGTTTCATTGACAGCATGATGCTGGAGCAGAATACTAGTGTTGACTGTTTAGGAGAACATAATCCCCGAACATGTGAGTCTCTATTGGATGCCTTTGCTGCGGAATCAGATTTGGAGTTGAAGCCTTGTTCCTCTTCTCCACCACCACCAAAGCCAGCCTAATACCGAACCACAACCACAACCATGATTTCCGCAAGATATGTGTTGAAGAAGATTCGACTCGCCCGCCAAACAGCATTCTCGCAGATCTGCACATCAAGAGATGAAACTTATCTCTAAATTGCGAAACCCATTTATTGTGGAGTATAAAGATTCATGGGTAGAAAAAGGTTGCTATGTCTATAAAGAAGACCAATGGTGTTGTGGTGGATAAACGTTCAAATTCTGACATTATTTTAATCATCAATCGGATCCGGCAAAGCAATGCAATCACACTTGGTGCAGAAAGTCGAAAGAAAGTGCAGGTGTTGTATGTGACATTGGATGAATGGTCAGATGATGAAGTAGGTGTTGGGGGAAATGCTTCAGCTAATTCAATTTATGAGAGGCTTATTTTCCTGCAGTCACAAGCTACGGTCAACAACGTATGATTTGCAAGAATTTTTGAAGCCTAGTTTGCGCATTATGTCTGAAAAAAGCAGCCTATCAAGTTACATTACAATAGTGATCAACCTTTCGTTCCAATTTTTCATGATCCTACAACAACAGCACCTTACAGAATAACTCTACTATGTTCAGTGTATACTATGTTGCATTACAGTTTCTAAGTAAACTCACGAAGTGGTAATTTGAAGAGAGAACTATCAACAACTGTTTCCTTTTCCAACTCAAAGTGCGTAAATTCGATCAACCTCAGAATTAGAGAATTCAGAATGATGCCATGAGTTAGATCCACTTCTCCTAGCTTGTTGCTTCTCTTTCTTCCTCATTGATCTTGTTCTCTTAGACCTCACTACATAGTAAGTCATAGTGCCGAGAACGCCGGATATTATAACTCCTCCAACTACCGTAACCAGAGCTGCAGCCCACCAGTTTTTCCGACCCACGACTATGTACGAAGAGGCAATAAATGCCACGGAGGTACAAACAGAAGCCAACCACATGAGCTTGTTAATCACCTCTACCACCCTTTTCTCTGCTTTTGTTTCACCTCTAACCAAGGTGATTTGAACCACCACAACAGCTAAAGACGTGAAAAGCGCTATGGCGTTGAATATGAAAAATATTTTAAATGAAGAATAACCTGCTACCACTCCTGAGCCGTCATCGTTATCCCCGCCGGGTACGGTGAATATAGCAGCAAAAGCAACTGTAGCAAACAACACAGCCACCACTGTCACTGAGTTTGTGGCATTGTTAATTCCTTCCCTGTGGAGTTTCCTTAGCTCTTTGGAAATATTATGAACATTTTTGTTCGTTCTCTTGGTTTGTTCCAGCTGAGTGTGAACATCTTTCTTAATTTGTGTAACGGTTTTCCTCAGTTCGTCCCTCGGTTGGTTGAGCTCGTTAGCTCTAAGTGCCCCGTACCGAGAAAGGACATCTTTTATATCTGACGACTCTTCAGAGAGAGGAAGATTTTCAGCAATGTCTAGCGCTGTTTTGTGGTCTCTCGTTAATGCATTTACGTTGGTGTCTGGCAGGAGTAACAACTCATTCACTATCTGTACAACAAATTGACAAACAATATTAGATTTATATTTTGTGGAAGTCTAAATATGGGCAGTGCTTGTAATGCTGTGCTACTTTTGACATACCTCGACTCGTTTTTTCCTAGTTGCCACGTGTAATGCGGTGTTACCGAATTTGTCAGGAAGCATAACAATAGCAGCATCTGCTTCAAGAAGCAACTTCACCACGTCACAGCTCTGTCCTTTTACAGCCATATGCAAAGCAGTTTGCCCTTTCTTGTCAGTCCTTCGAGCCAACTGAGGGTCTTTACTGAGCAAAGCTTTCACGATTTCTATATGACCAGGACGAGCAGCTAAATGCAATGCATTTTTTCCATTGGATCTTGCTATTTCCAGCAAGCTTCCATCCTTCGACAGAAGTTCATTCACCACTTCGACGTGCCCTCTCGTCGCTGCTGTTATAAGCGGAGTGGAATTGGATGGACCAATGGTTTTGCTTAAGCTTGGGTCATAGTCTAGTAAAACCTGAACAATCGCTGCAAATAAAGATTCACAACAGATTATTACAACGAACAAAAGACAAACTACACATCGATAATCAAGAAAATCATAACCAACAAACTGAAGCTATTCAAGGTCAAACAATTAGAACAAAAACAAGCCCGCTATTAATGTTTGGAAGCAACGGCGGAGTTAGAAGACTTGTCGACATAGCATCATTAACTACACTAATGAAGAATAAAACACTGAACTAGCATCAAAACTTGCCTCTTTAAGCTTCCATTAAAAGCATCATAATTAATTTTCTTTATTAGATACCTTAAACAAGATAAATCACATAGCTACTCACATATACTTCTATTGTTATTCTAAGTTAAAACCAACTAACAAAGTCCATTTGAATTGACTTATTTGAACTTATCTACTGACATAAGCTCTGACTCAACTATTTCAGAGCACTTATGAAAACAACTTATGATGTGTTCTTAAGCAACTTCAGCTTATTTCCATAAACTCTCAATTTTTAGCTTATACAAACAACTTATAGCTTACACATCAGCACTTAGTTTATCCAAACAAACATGAGGTTAGAAGATGGTCTAAAACAAGTACAAAACTACTTAAAGTTTCGATTTATAGAAAAAGAAACACAATAAAAATCACGAAATTTCAGCATCAAAACAAAGGAAGAAAGTAAAAAATCACCATGATGGCCTTGACTAGCTGCAATATGCAAAGGATCAAACCCAGATCGATTCTTTTTAGCAACAGTTTGAAGAGTGGAATGCTTCAACAACTCCTTAACAACATCAAGGTGACCCTTTTCAGCAGCAGTAAACAAAGCAGTTTCACCAAGTTCATTCTCCTCATTAACAACCAAAGCACGAACCTCCGCAATCTCATCCTTAAGATCAACATCATCCCCACTCAAATTCCCCATTATCTGAGAATCAATATCAAGAAGGATCTGTCTCACAGCACCAACATCACCCCTCTGAGCCGCCAGGTGAAGTTCGGTGTCGTTGTGACGACCGGTCACTTGCTTCACGTACTTCTTCTTTCCAGCTTGGTCGATCCGTTTGCCGGAGTTTGATAGGACTAGAGCTGGAGCTGTGGCTGATGACGGAGATGGTGACGGGGATATTTCGGAAAGGGGGTTTTGCGTTGGGGTCATGGTTTCACTTTGATTTTGAGATCCTCCTGCAATTAAAGTAAAAGGGTCATGGAAAAATATAAAATTGAAGGGTTAGAGTGAAGAAAAAGCGATGGGTGTATAGAGAGAGAGAGAGAAAGAAGAAAAAGAACCTGGTAGGTTGAAATTGGAGGGCATGACTATGATAGAAGAGTGTATCTATCTATGTATCTAATTGTAAGGAAGAATGAAAGTGAAGGAAGTAGAAAACAGTCATAAGGGTTGGCTATGAATTGATGACTGATGATAAAAAGAGAATGATGAGTGGGAATAGGAAAGTCATGGGAAAGAGGGAGGAGGCATTCAACATGGACAACACAAACATGTTGGATTTTCCTTTCTTAAATTTTTCTTTTTTTTTTATTTTCTACATTTTCTAATTTAGTAACTACATGTGTGTGTAATGATAAATATTAATTAACCAAAATTCTATCCAAATATGATTCATCATAGAAATAAAAGTATTGTGGATCGTTTATCTAAACTATAAAATTAGATTAATTGATTTATTATTGAATCGAAATTGATTAGTTAAATCAAAATTTTATATATATATTAATCAAAATTTTATATATATATATTAAACCTAGAGAAATTATCTTCGCTATAAAATTATTCCTATGATAATGCCTGTTTTTATAATGATAAAATTATCTTCGATATAAATAATGATGATATCATCGTGATTTCAATTCCAAATACTAGTGGCCATGATTTTAAAAAAGTTGGAAATATTAAAACCAAACTCTTAATTAATTGTGTTATTGAGTAAATATATATTTATTTTACATTATTTAAAGAAAATGATGGCTGGCTAACAATGAGTGTTGAATTTGTACTACTGGTAAGAAAGAAAGAAAACTAGGACTCTTAAGAAGTCCACTTTAAAAAATTTACAATTCGTACACTGAGGAAATGTGAGTCTTAGTTTATATTAGATTAACTTATTAATTCAATGGCTGATATTTAATATAAGCTTTTATATATATATATATATATATATATATATATATATATATATATATATATATATATATATATATATATATATATATATATATATATATATATATATATATAACACCACATGTATCTTATCATTTCATTTTTAATACAATAGTAAAATTTTATTTTCTTTAGCTTTTCTGTTACGATTACAGTTGGAAGTTTGTTACATTTCTCTTTCTCTAATGGAGTGTTTCACCATTGTTGATATGGTATCAGAGCAAATCGTGCTCTGGTAGCCATCGTTTCCTTTCTGTTGTTCTTGCAGAGTGACGTTCTCTGCTTCTTCTTGTTTCTCTTCGATCGCGTTTTCTTGCATTCGTTCTTCTTCTTCCATGGCTTACCAGAGTTATGCAGATTTTTCTACTAATTCCGCAAATCCTTTCTACTTGCATCCAAACGAAAATCCAGCACTTGTACTTGTCTCTCCTCCACTTGACGTCAAGAACTATCATATTTAGGCTCGATCGATGCAAATTGCTTTGATATCCAAGAACAAGGACATATTCATTGATGACACTCTGCCTAAACCACTGTTATCTGATCCTCTTTATGCTCATTGGATTCGGTGTAACATAATGGTCCTTGCCTGGATTCAACGCTCAATTTTTGAGTCAATTGCAAAGTCGGTGTTGTGGATCGATAATGCTGCTGGTGTTTGGAAGAACTTGCAAGTTAGGTTTTCTCATGGTGATATCTTTCGCATATCTGACATCCAAGAGGAATTGTACAAATTTCGTCAAGGTACACTCGATGTCTCTAATTACTTTACTCAGATGAAGGTCTTATGGGATGAACTTGAGAGTTATCGCCCTATTCCTGTTTGCACATGTGGTATTCCCTGTTCTTGTGATGCTATTGCTTCTGTTCAGCGCTATAGGGAACAAGATTACGTGCTACATTTTCTGAAAGGATTGAATGACAAGTTCACGCATTCAAAATCACATATTATGATGATGAATCCTCTGTCTAACATTGATAAGGTGTTCTCTCTTGTTATTCAACAAGAGAGAGATGAATAACTTTGTTTCTAACATGATTTCCCCTGCTAGCAACACTGACGAGGCTACAACTCTGAATGTCCAATCTCAGAATAACACTAATGGTAAGTCTGGCTATGGCAATTTCAAATGGAAATCCCAAGGATCTGGTCCTAAAGGTCACGCTAGGGTCTGCACTCATTGTAACAGGACCAATCACACCTTAGAAACTTGTTTTCTAAAGCATGGAGTTCCACCTGGATATAAGGGCAAAGGAAAGGTTTCAGGTTCTTCCTCTGCTTCCCAGCCAACTGCTATGGCCAACAATGCCTCTGAGAACCAATCCACAAGCTCCTCATCTGCATCCTCGTGTGGTCTTACTCAAGAGCAATACACTCACATCTTGGCATTGCTGCAACAGTCACAACTTAATTCTCAAGCCAATTCTATTTCCACTTCTCCTTTTGCCTTGAATTCCCATTCAAGTACCAATGGTAAGAATCCTAACCCGTGGATCCTTGATACTGGTGCTACTTACCACATTTGCTTTGACCTTAGCTTGTTTCTTGATTATAAGAATATAATTCCCATTCCTGTTAATTTACCTAATGGTTCTCAAGTGATTGCATCCATAGCTGGTATTGTTTTCATTTCTCCCTCCTTGACTTTACAGCATGTCTTGTATATCCCTAGTTTTCATGTTAATCTTATCTCTATTGCTAAGCTTATTGACATCAATAATTGTTTTGTTCAGATCCATGCTAATGCCTGTCACATTATGCAGAATCGTTCCAAGGCAATGATTGGTATAACTAATGTGCAAAGGGGACTTTATACTCTTGAGCTCACAAGACCTCATTCTTTTTTTCCTTATGTTAATAATACCTCTTGTAATACATGGCACTTAAGACTTGGTCATGTGCCTCATTTAGGTTTACAAGAAATTTCCAAATTGTTTCCTTTCATTGATTGTAATACTAAACTGGATCCTTGTGACTCATGTCACTTTGCAAAGCAAAAGAATCTTTCTTTTCCAATTAGTACTTCTATGTCTTGTGCTCCTTTTGATATCTTACATGCTGACTTATGGGGGCCATTCTCCACTATATCTACTCTAGGGCACAAATATTTTTTGACCTTAGTTGATGACTATACTAGGTTTACCTGGGTTATTTTCCTCAAAACTAAGGATCAAACTAAAACTAGCCTTATTCAATTTGTAGCTCTTATTGAAAATCAATTCAAAACTTCTCTTAAGTGTCTTAGATCTGACAATGGTACATAATTTTATTGCCCTTACTGATTTTCTATTGTCTAAGGGTATCCTTCACCAAAGGTCTTGTGTTGAAACTCCTCAACAGAATGGTGTAGTTGAAAGAAAACATCAACATATATTAAATGTTGCTAGAGCTTTATATTTTCACTCTAATATCCCTTTGGCTCTTTGGATTTTTTGTGTGCAACATGTTGTTCATCTCATAAATAGGTTGCCTACACCCCTTTTGAAATCCAAGTCTCCTTATGAACTTTTGTTTCAACAGCCTCCCTCACTCATTCAATTAAAAGTCTTTGGATGTTTATGCTTTGCATCTACTTTACAGACACATAGGACTAAATTTGATCCTAGAGGTCACAAGGCTATTTTTCTTGGTTTTAGGGATGGTACCAAGGGATACATTGTTTACAATCTTCAAAGTCATGCCATCTCTGTGTCCAGAAATGTCATTTTTTATGAACATGTCTTCCCTTTTAGGCTTTCTTCTGTACCCTCATCTTCTTCTTCAAATATTCCTTCCTTTCCCACTGAGTTACAGACCCTTGCTAAGAATCACACTTGGACTATAGTGGATCTGCCTCATGGAAAGGTTCCCATTGGTTGTAAATGGGTGTACAAGATCAAATTCAAGGCTGATGGTTCTATTGAGAGGTATAAGGCTAGGCTTGTTGCTAAAGGATATACTCAACTTGAAGGGGTTGATTATTTTGACATTTTTTCTCCAATTGCTAAGATCACCACTGTCAGAGTCCTCTTATCCATTGCTGCTATCAAAGGTTGGTACTTGGAACAATTGGACGTGAACAATGCCTTTTTGCATGGTGACTTGAATGAGGAGGTTTATATGTCAATCCCACCTGGCCTTTCTGTTTCCAGCCCTACTCAGGTATGCAAGTTGCAAAAATCCTTGTATGGCTTAAAACAGGCCAGTAGACAGTGGTATTCAAAACTTTGTGTTCCTTCTTTCTTTGGGATACTCCCAATCTCAAGCAGACCATTCCTTGTACACCAAGGTTACTGAACACAGTTTCACTGCCTTACTTGTTTATGTTGATGACATAGTCCTAGCTGGGGACTCTCATCAGGAGATTCAGTTTGTCAAAAGTGTGCTTGACAAGGAATTCAAAATCAGAGATCTTGGACAACTGCGATTCTTTTTAGGTTTTGAGATTGCAAGGTCATCTAAGGGCATTTTTTTGAACCAAAGGAAGTATGCTCTTGAGCTGTTGGAAGAGACGGGTTTGCTTGCTTGCAAACCTTCTTCTGTGCCCTTTGACCCTAACTTGAAGTTATTTATTTCTACTGGTCAACCCTTGCAGGATCCCTCTTCTTATCGTAAGTTGATTGGCAAGTTGATTTACCTTACTAATACTCGGCCAGACATTTCTTATGCTGTTTAGCAACTGAGTCAGTATGTTTCTCATCCTTTAATTCCACATTATCAGGCTGCCATTAAAGTTCTCAGATACTTGAAACTTTTTCCTGCCAAGGGCATATTTTTTTTCTTCCACCAGTGATCTTAAACTCTATGGTTTTGCTGACTTTGACTGGGCACGATGTCCAGATAAGCGTAGATCCACAACTGATTTTTGTGTTCTTCTTGGAACTTCTCTTCTTTGTTGGAAATCAAAGAAATAAAACACGGTTTCTCGATCTTCAACTGAAGCTGAATACAGGGCCCTTGCATCCTTGTCTTGTGAACTTCAATGGCTGAAATACTTGTTCAAAGATCTCACCATCATTATGTCTCAACTTGCTTCTGTCTATTGTGACAGTAAGTCAGCCATATACTTAGCTCATAATCCTGCTTTTCACGAGCGTAGTAAGCACATAGAACTTGACTGTCATGTTATACGCGAGAAGATTCAGTCCAAGCT